AAAAAGGCTCTTGTCAGGGTGGCTGTTGTTAGCAATTAGCTGCCATACTGATCTCAAAACTTTCTTCTGCAATATAGCCCTTAACTGCAATAATTTCATTACTCACTTTTTCTACAGTCCCTTTTAAGTTTTTCCTCATTTCTCAGTTATTTCTGTGTAAATATATATATATATGTATAACAAAATCTCATGAGTGGCACTACTGGTTGCTGCCTATGTTTATTCTAGATGCAAAATATGTGTTACATAGAGGATTTTTTTCATAGCTATTTCTGCATATGTATTCTACATGGATTTTGTGAATGATCTGAGCAGGCTTGGCAGAACAGACTGCTGCCTTTTCCACCCATGGCACTGAGGCAGAAAAAGTCAGCATACCAAATAAGAAACCACACACCACACAGGACTACTAGGTACCATTAGATTTAGCAAATTGCTGACAGTTTTCAGGTCATATTATCATCTTGGGATGTAGGTAGAATTTAGACATCTTGATTCTATTGAAAGCACTTAAATCTTTATTTAAGTTTTGCTCCAAATTCTTCCTTTGAGGAAATTTGAGGTCTGTGCAATTTCTAGACATAGAATGAGGACTCAAGAAGTGAACTTTTGGACACATTCTAAGGAGAAGTATAAGTACTCATACTTGGAGTGTGGCAACACAGGTAGGGAGAGAGGGCTGATCTTTATAAAAATCTCAGGATCAACAAAAATGCACATTTTGCATTTTTCTATTTGCATAAAAATTCTAAATTCTCATCAATTTAATGGAAGCCTGGAATACTCGTGAATTGTTGGCCAAGATACAGACTGGAAAAGTTCCCAAAAAAGTGTTTCATTACTGGTGTGGGTGTGGAGAAAGTGTTATAATTCTTCAACTGTATCTGAGTAGTTATGTTTCTTTATCACTTTCTAAGCCAAAGAACTATTTTTAAATTGAATTAAAAATTGCTACTTATGCAGTTATCCTGTGGATACTCTCCAAAACAGCATTTCTGTAGCTATCTTGGGTCAGAACAGCATGATGAATCAGCATGAAAACAACACCAGTTCAAATATAATCAATTGCCTTTATTTGTTCATTCGCTACTAAAATAAGGTTTGTATCCATCCCTCATTATTCACTCCTAATGTTTTCTCACTCTTTATTGTAAAGAATGTAAAGGAACTGTGATGTGATGTAATCTATTTAATTCAGAACCGAAGAAGTGGAGCCTTAAGAGCAACAGAGAAAAAAAAAATCCAAACACACTAATAGGAAATTCTTAAACAAGACTACTGTTCAATTATCCTGCAAAAGTCTCTGTATCTCCTACCTTTCTACAGAGCTAATACTCATATCACGGATGGAAAGAATAACAAAGGTAATCACTGACTGAGTATCAATTTTTCTTGCTGTTTAATCCTTAAATTACTTTTATAATCCATTATAAATCCATTAGATTACAAAATTTGAAAAGGCAGAAATACTCTTGTCTCTCTTGTTTTATCTGTTTTTTAGTTTCTCTGTTTTAGTTCTGATAGACCTGCCTGTAAGCAGATAGCCCTTTTCCAAAGTGGGGGCTTAAATACGATAGGGATGCCTAAAAATTATGTTCCTCTCAGGTCACCCTGATAAAGATCTGTGAAGGATTTTATGTCATGAAACAAAAGATATGATCTGAAAAAAAGCATAATAGTTCAAATCTTGGTAACTTCAAGGACATATTCTCATGATCTCTGCAAATTTAGATCTTTGTGGATAATCAAGCGACCTTTCCAATCTAGCTGCTTCCTTGTGCACCCCATGCAAAGTTAGATATCCCCATCACAGCACACTAATATCTACTTTGCACCCTTATTTACCTAACTTAGAATAGAAGCAACTTAAAAAGTATGAGAGGTGCTTGGTGTGTCTAATAGGAAAAAAATACAAGGTTTTCCAACAAAATGAAACCAGCCCATTTGTATACCCCATGCTAAAATGCTTCTTTCAAAAGCTGATATACTCAGCTGAAAAACACATCCACCACTAAGGGCTGTGCAGCAAAATCTCTCTGTGAGCAATAGGCTTGCCAGCTGCTGGCATTTCAGGGCTCTCAGTGTCATAAGCTGAGTACTACATATTTGTTCAAGGGAAACAAATCAAAAAGCTTTTTCAATTTACTCATTTTATCCTTCTTGGAAGCTCCTCAAAGCCTCTGTTTTACTAACTTGTTTGTTTAATAAAAGGTATTATTTCTCTTTCTAAACCCTGCCTAGCAGTTTGTAACAAATTTGGTTGACATTAATTCAGTAGTAATATTCTTTCAACTATTAACCTGATTCTCATATCTGCTTCAGGAAGAGCCTAGAGATTTAACAAATTTTAAAAGAGTCAGTTTATTTATTGTCTCTGCACCTCTTGCAATAATCTCATCTTTTAGTCCAGGAAAGATGTTACTGGATCACAACAAAGGTTTCCTATAGTGCCCTAAAGAACCAGGTGATAGTGCAATTACTAATTCTGTTTCAAAAATGTTTCTTTTTCCTGTCTTAACCCTTCTTCCTAAACAAATGTCTCCCATGTAGCCTCAGGATCTTCAAGATTTGAGTACATTTAAATGCCTCTGAGGATAGTGGCCAGCTTGAAGGACAGTGAATTTCACTCACTTTCTCTGCTTCTGGAGTTTCTGATTGAAATTTCCTGGTCCTGTATTTGTATTAGCTGCCTTGAGATAGTAAGACTAGTAAGGGAGGTATCATCGGTAATTTTCTCCTACATAACAGAAAACATAGAAGTGTTTTCACCAAAGCCTTGGAAAACTGGACCTTGTGAAAGTCTGTCCCTCTAATGCACTGGATACATTGTGACCCGCAGCTCCTGTACCACAAAAAAAACTTCAACTTGAGGGTATGTGTTTTCAAAGATAAATTTTCCTCAGTAATCATTCAAGGATTTCCTAACTAAGTACATGTAAGAGCAACTGCTGATATGACAGCATAATTACCATCAATGTTAAACTGGCAACATTTCATCATTCACATTTGATTTTCATAATGCCTTCCTGGTTTGAATATTTTGTACATATGCACAATTCAAAGATTTCTTAATATCCAAAACTAATCTTTGGCCTGGCTTAGCAGTGTTACAGCAGTATAAGATTAATTGTTTTTAAATAGGATTAAAAATAATAGAGTTTTTTTAATTCTTTATTGCCGAGTAGTTGAGACATTTTGTTAATGAATTGCTGCCTTGTCTCCTTTTATTTATGATACCTACTATCTCAACTACATAATTGATTTGGGTGACAGAGGTTAAGCATCATAAGTCACAGAATTTTAATTTCAAATAGGTAGTAGACAACAGTATAATGAATTATGAAGAGATGGTGTTCAATAAACATTCAGCGAAAGAAGTGAGAACACAAAGACAAGACAATAATTCTAGTTTAAATCAGCACTAGCTGTTGAAAAGCTGTCATTTACAAGAGGTTATATTCTTCTCAATACAGAGATATAGCTCTTGTTAGTATTTTATGGAGAGAGGGGAGTGGAGGGAGAACTGAGAGAAGACAAGAAGAGATGAAGTCACCAGTGTGACCAGTTCAGTCAAGGCCTCTGTTCAGTACAGCAGTGACCTCAAATGTTAAACTAAGAAATAGAAAAGAGTGAAAGCTCAGTGCTACAGTGTGAATCATCACACATCCTTAAGAAAGCTTAATTATGTCAACCTGTTTCCAAAAGGTTAGTAGAAATGGAGATGGAGAGCTCAGAGGTGGACATAAGAACAAAGACTATAAATACTTCATGGGGAGAGAGTGTAAAAATGAAATCACTCATCTTACAAGGAGTATAGAAAAGCATAGAATAGCATTGGGAAGGTAGATAAGCCTGTTCATATGCTCTTGCAATACAGGAATTAAGTTAAAAAATTAACTTAGATAAGTTAAAGTTAAGCAAATGTCAATGTTACAGCAATAAAATAAAAAAAAAAAACCAACAAAACAAACCAACAAAAACGTAAACGGTTTGATACTGTCAAAGTCTGTATGTGCATTTCATTGCTACGAGATGCTTTGCAGCATTCAGATAATTGCTGGCCAATAAAGAAGTCACAAAATAAAGAGTCCTGGAGCAGAAGATGCTTGTACAGAAATTAAAGTTCTGAAATTAATACAAACTCCCTGGTACAAAACTACCTCCATTTACTGTAGGAATCTCTTTTGAAAGACTGTTGTTTTGCAGAAATATAATGCAGAGCTTTTCTTAAAACTTTCTGAAGTAAACAGCAAGGCTGCTGTTGGATATCCGAGTTGGTAAACTACTTCTAAAATCTAGTTACAAAGTTTTTCCATTTCAGCCAATTGAGTGGAGTTGTAATGAAAAGTTACCTTCCAGCTGTTCAAATTCTTGGCATAGAATTTAGGCTGTGGAAAAGGGAAGCTACAGGCTGCAACTTATTTTAGAATAGAACCTGCATGAAATAAAGGAATCCGTCGGCCTTCCTCTGAATGTGGGCTCTTTGGTATGGTTTTTACACCAGAACTGAACACCTAAGATATTCTTCTGCAGTGTGTAAACACCTCCTTGTTGCTCCAGTGACTGTATCTTTTGGAAGAAGCTAAATGTCAACGAGCATAACTTACTTTTTAAGACAGCAGATGAAAAATTTTAAAAAGCAAACGTTTAAAAGCAATTTTTCCTTCAAACAAAACATTATTTGTCAAAAATTAAATTGAGCTATTCTGGGATTGTCCTAGAATAACAATAAAACCTTAGTAAGCTAGAATTACTGCACCTTCTCTGATCTGGTAAAACTCCACTGAACCCAGTGAGGTTGTACTGTCACCAGCTTCAAAAGAATCAGCTCAAATCTACCTGTGGCATAAAGCGGTTTAAAGACACACGTTCCAAATTTTAAAGCAGCTGAAAAAGCCCTATCCCTTGCATAAAGCCATGGTAAACGTTGACAGCTTAGGTCCGGTTTTGCTTTGACACCTTGGCTCCCGAGCGACAGCAAAGAAGGGATAACCAGGCACCTGGGCTGGCATACGGGCGGCAGCTCACCCTGCTCCGGCGGGCTCCTTCGAACAGAGAGGCTGCGGGCTGGCACTCGCCTCGCTCCCTGCTCTGAGCACGGCTCATTTCCGAGGGACCCGGAGGAGGAGGCAGGAGACCGCTGGTGGGACCGCTCGCTGCG